CGGTACAGCTGGCCCAGTGACGCCGCCACCGCGTTCCAGTCTCCGAAGCCGGCGACCGTCAGGCCGCCTCCCTCCGTCGGGCTCGCGTCTTCCTACTTCTCCCGCAGCGCCCGCCAGCGCGAGCCAGACAAGGGCACGCGGGGCCTCGCCGGGACCCCAGAGGGCTGCGGGCGGGCGCGCGGGAGCGGCGAGCGCCCCCTTCGTGGACGTCTCCGCGCGGCTTCTGGGTGAGTTGTCCCGGCGGCTCGGGCCGGAGGGCCGGCATTGTGTCACTGGAGAGCGGGGCCGGCTGTCAGCGCGCGGGCCGGCCGTACCGTCGCAGGGACGCCGGCCAGTGTCACCACCGGCAGCCGCGCCGAGGTGGCCGGGCCCTGCTGGACTACGGGGCGGCAGGGAGGACCAACCGGCCGCCTGGTGTCCGGGGACCCTGGGACCCGCACGCTGGGCTCCGTGGCACGCGGGGCGGGCACAGGCCGTCTTTATTGCAGCTATTTCCCTGCAGCCGAGGGAAGGCGCTGGGCAGGGCGGGCTTGGCGGAGGTGGGTTTCCTGAGGAAATCTTGCAGCCGCTGGTGTGTGCGCTGGAGCTTTCTGGAGCTCCGGCATCTCGTGTGCGGCTCCGTCCCAAAAACTTACTATCTGGGCTGAAACTTGCTGAAGCCACTTCCTGTTTTTTTAAAATGTTTATAAGTACATATAAACTTTCTTCTTTAAGCCTTTGGAGGACAAAAAAAGATTCTCAAATATTAGTGAGCCTGACTCTCCCGCACGGTTGTGGCTATGCAACCACCCAGGTGGAAAGAATTAACCTGTAACGGAATTGGGAGGGCCAAGTGGTTACTGGGAAGCAAGACCCAGAAGAGAGGCATCAAAAACACGCCTCTGACTGTTGAGAGGGAACTTCGCGTCTCAGCAGAGAGCCTAGTGCTATAGTTGTCACACACTTGTCTGTGGGTGACCGGGCAGTTTGCTGCGCTTTGTTGCTCTTGCTTCCTGGGGTTTAAAGTGTTCTGCACAGAGGTGCATGATTATCCACTTAAATTAAGCCGAATTTACTCCCTTTCCAGATCTACAGTGTCTTTCCACTCTTCACCATGATTAATTGACTTTATGCTGTTTGACTTCCTTTGGCTTAAAAAAAATCACACACTTTTTTGTGCTTTGGAAATTCTACACCCAAATTGTCACCATCTACTGGAGACTAGTAGAGACATGTCCTTGGCACTGACTTCTTAAGTTTCTGAGCTTTGCATTTTTCATTCGGTGTATATTCAAGCAGAAATGAGAATTGTCTGAGTTGGTGTTTCTGTACCTCAGTATACGAATAATTTAATAAAACATTGCTAATAACGATAGAAAACTTCTTAAAGATTTATTGTGTGCCAAATTTGTACCTTGTACCAAGAATTTCACTTTTTAATCATTGTGTGTGTGTGTGTGTGTGTGTATACATGCATGTAAGTGTGTGTACTTGTGTGCTGGTCAGAGGACAGCTTGCAGGATCTAGTTCTCTCCTTGTACTGTGTGGATCCCAGGGTTTGAACTCAGGTTGTCTGATTTAGTGGTGCTGAGCCATCTCACTGGCCCAAGATTCACTTTTGATCTCAGTAACATTTGAGCTAGGGTAGATATTACCCCTATTTTTCTAGTTGATACCCAAGGTACACAAATTAAGTAACTTGTCCAAGGCCACAAAAGTAGGTTCTGGAGTGTCTGTATTCTTCTCAAAGCAGGCTGTTTCTCAAGTTCTAAGCATGCCTAACTCTTGGAGACACATTCATGGTAGGTTGTTCGCACAGTACTATTAACTCTTTTTTTTCCATTAATTTTTACAAGTTTGTGATACATAATATATACCAGCCAGTCGCTGTCTGGTGTTAGAGATAATGTGGTGAGTAAAACAGGAACCAGACTTGTCTTCCTTTTATAGATAATATTTTTTTTTTTTTTTTTTTGGTTTTTTGAGACAGGGTCTCTCTGTAGCCCCAGTTGACCCGGAACTCAATAATGTAGACCAGATCTGCCTCTTACCTCTGGAGTGCTGGGATTAAAGGCATGTGCTACCACACCCAGCTTGGTGCTCAGTATTTAAGTCTGTTTATTTTGGTTTATGGTGGTGGTTTTCATTACTGTTTACTGCTTGAAGTACTTGTACCCAGTAAGTTAAAGGGGGGGCAGTATCAGCATGAAACCTGCAAATGGGATTCCTTCTACAAAGGGACTTTTTGGGTACTGTGGTAGGAATGATAAATGAAATAAATGCTGCCTACAGACAGCCTCTAGGTGTGCAAACCCTGAGAGCAAACCCATCATCACAGGGCAGTTTGCCTTGCTGAGCCTAGCCTTAAAGCCTGGAATTCAGGCCCATTGAAAGAAGAGGAAAACAGTACGAAGTGGTGCTGCATGCAGCCTGGCAGGTGGCAAGGCCTCAGTACTTTGTGGTTTCCTGGCTGGTCTCCATGTGGTGTGGTGATTGAACTGGAGTTCTTATGTAATAGTGCATCTCCTGACAGGGGATTTCCTCCTTGTCTGTTGCTGGGGTAGAGTTCCTGCTGCACCCCTTCCTCCACACATGGTTACATGCACCCTCCAAAGGTAGTAATTCCTTGGCTTCTAAAAGTAAGACTTCAAAGTTTATTGCTTCTGACCATTACTTTGCACACTCCATGCTTGTCCCTCTCTCAGATAAAAACTTGCCTTTGCTTGGGCGTGGTAGTGCATCCTATAATCTCATCACTGGAGAGGCTTGAGGCAGGAGGATCATGAGTTCAAGGCTAGCTTGGAATACACAGTGACACCCTGTGCCAAAATCAGACAACAAAAACCAAACACCAAAGAACCTTCCCACCAAAACTCTTGCTCTTGTTTCAAACCTTTCCAAGTGCTTTTTCTATGTCTTTAGCTCTCCTGACAACCAGTCTACTGCTGGTGTCCTCTGTAGTCTTAGAAAATATGGTGCCTTAAATTTCAACAAGGGTGGCTGGAGAGATGTCTCAGCAGTTAAGAGCACTGGCTGCTCTTGTGGAACACCCAGGTTTCCCAGCACCCATATGGCAGCTAACAACTGTCTGTAACTCCAGTTCCTGGGGATCAATGCCCACTTCTGACCTCCATGGGCATTGTACAACATGGGTGTACTTACACACACAGGCAATACATTTATACACATAAAATAAAAATAATAAATATTAAAAAAATAATTCAATGAGGGGGCTGGAGAGATGGCTTAGCAGTTGACAGTGCTTACTGTTCTTGAGGACTGGAGTTCTCTTCCTAGCACCCACATTGGGTGACTCACAACTACCTGTAACTACAGCTCCAGGGGAATCTGATACTCTCTTCTGCCTTTGCACACACACAGACACGTACATAAATAAATAAAATAAATCTTTAAAAAAATTCAGGGGCTGGAGAGAGAGCGCAGTGGTTAAGAACACTCACTGGCTGCTCTTCCAGAGGATCATGGTTTAATTCCCAGCACCTACATGACAGCTAACAATCATCCATAACTCCAGTTCCAGGGGAATCTGATGCCTCTTCTGGCCTCTGTGGGCATTACACATATGTGGTACACTTACATGCAGGCAAAACACTCATATATAGAAAATAAAAATAAAGTTAAAAATTCAACGAGGCTGGGTGTGATGGTGCATAGCATTAATCTCAGCACTTAGGAGGGAGGTGGAGGCCAGCATGGTCTGCATAGCAAGTTCCACGCCAGCCAGATCTCTCCTGACTGTACCACCATACCTGGCCCTTACTGCCTGGCACTTTAAAAATACCAAGCTGGGCGTGGTGGCCCAGGCCTTTAATCCCAACACTTGGGAGGCAGAGACAGGCAGATCTCTGTGAGTTCAAGGCCAGCCTGGTCTACATAGTGAGTTCTAGGACAGCTGGGGCTACAGGGAGACCCTGTCTCAAAGAAACAAAACAAACAAACAAAAAAGTTAATGGAACGTGATCTTCCTGGTTTCAGAACTGAAATAGTTGGACTGGAGAATGAGGCAAAACCGCTTGCTGGCAGTGAAGGAAAACCTGAGACCATAGGTGCTTGTTTTTTCCCTCTGTTCCCTGTTTACTAAATAACAGTTCAGGAGAGGTAGTGACAGGTCTGTATAGCTCTCTTACAGGTCCACTTGGCCTGGTCATCTGTCTCCCATTTTACTGAGCCCTTGGGTTGATCCAGCTGAAGCAGAATTCATTTTCCTCCTTTTCTGTTTGGACTCAGGATTCCTGTTGAAAGAGCATTCTCTCAAGCAGGAGAAGAAGGAGCAGATAGAAGAAGGAATATGTTACTTTTTTTTTTTTTAATTTGAAGCAGTAATTGCTGTGTTGCAGACAGGATTATAAACAGTGAGAGAAATGAGTATGAGAGGAGAAATTCTTCTGGTTTCTCTGAAGATTGCTTCTGTGTAGGGATCACCCTCTGTCTCTGCCTATTTCCAGTTGTAACAGAATATCTGAGATGTAGTAATTTATGAAGAGAAGTTTATTTGGCTCACAGTTGTGGAAATCAGGAAGTTGAAGAGCTTGCCGCCAGCATCCTGCATCATAACATGGCACAGATACCACATGGTAAAAGGAACTTTGGTAGCTTGAATCTGTCTTCCTCTTGTAAAACTGTTGTGGAAGCCCCACCCTCATAACCTCATTTAATCTTAATTACCTGCCAGTGCATCCACCTTCCAGCCCCATCTCCAAATAGAATTCATATATGAATTTGAGGATGAAGTTTCTAAAGTCAAACTTTTAGGAGACACATTCAAACCATGGAGAGTAGAGGCTGGAAGATCTTGAATTTACAACCAGCTTGAGCTAAGTAGTGAGACCCTGTTTACCTAAACCAACCAACCAAATAATCCAAGCCAAACCAAACCAAAAACATTACCCACTTATGCAATAATAATAAGCCTTCATTTAGTGGAATAGTTTTCAGAAAATTCGTCCTCTTAAGTTGTATGGCCACATTGTAAGATACTTAGAAACTTAGGGTAGTGGGAAATACTGTCTGTGATATGGGAGGGCTGTTTTCCTGTTGATGGGAGGGAAGGATGCAGCTTAGGGCTGGGGGCTCAAGGCTTTGTGATGAGTATTTGAAGCAGCGGCTCTGAGACCCAGGAAGCAGTCAGTCAAGTCTTGTGGCTGACCTTGAGCATGAAGATCTGTTCACTGAATCATGGCTCAGATTCATGGCAGTAGCCATTGTTCCTGTGGTTGCTTGTATGTTC